ATATACGTATGTATTTTAAATAAATAAAAAAATAAAATACAATAAAATAAAATAAAAGCTCGAGAAGCTCGTTTGAGGTGTAAAATAGGGTTGGAACACCGTTTTCTCCATAACTCTTATATTTTATACACATATTGTGACAAAAAAGGATACGAATTGCAAATAGAACTCAAAATATTTAATTATTCATGAATATATATTTTGTCGCCTTCAAAGTAATCCCCACCAAATGCAATACACTTATGCTAAAGATTTTTGCGGACCTCGAAACAATTTTCATAAGCATTTTTTGGGATGACCATCAGCTCTTTCAACGAATTTTGCTTTATCTCTTCGATCGACTGAAAACGGGTTCCACGGAGCGCCAAATCACATGTGGGATCAGAATTCGCACGATCAAGCAATTCCAAAGAGAACTGTATACGGTACTCTTTTTGAAAAAATTCAGTTGTATTGGGACGAGTCGAGCAAGAACGCTTTTCATACCCAAATATTCACCAAAATCATTCGAACGGATTCGCGAGAGATGTCGGGCTCTCTACCCACCTCTCTAACACTTGCTCAATGATTTTCAATATTTTTATCAGTTGAAGAGGTCAAAGGTCGAAGGTCTTCCACCAACCCACCGTTAACCTTTTTCAATATTCGCAACGATTCTGCACCCAAAATTTGTTTACAGTTCTTCCAATTTAGCAAAATAGATTTTTTGATATATCATTTACCCGAAAATCTAATTTTTTACTGGGATTAATGCAAAATGCATGACTTTTTCCATTCTTCTACTTTCTTTGCTAAAAATTATTTGTGTAATAATGATAATAATAAAATTTGAGATTTATATAGTATGTGAAGAAAAAGATTGTGGGTTTTAACGTATTTATAATCCTATGCAACTAGGCTCTTAAATATTTGTCAGAGCTTTTATTATTTTTTATTTTACAATTGGATTTGCAAAATGTTACGTAGTAATTTTATTTAGAATTTTTGGGGTGTATTTTTATTTTTTATATATTATAGTATCCATTGCACTGAATGAATATATACATGGTATATACCTATGTATCCACTGCATTTGTATGCTATCCCCAACAAATTAATCTAGACTATGGGGGCGCAATGATGTAAGCATGACGCTTCTACTAGTGACTAATACCGGTGTGTTAATTAAACTAAGTGATAGAGGAGACTTCTGTTTTGTCATAAGTGTGTATGTATATACGTACATACATTTGTGCATTTCCAACGCTGAATAGTTCACGTCGAGGGAAGACTCTATCCCATTTTTGACAAATATTTGTTTTGGTTATTGAAATTAGATCTATCAAATTTAATTTCGGAAATTCTTTTTTGATGATTAGGGGGAATCAAACAATTGCGATCATAAAGTAAGAATTTGAGCACAAAAACTAAAAAAATATATTTTTAGTGGTTTCATATGGTCTAATAAAGTTATAAGTTATAGCGATCCGAAAACATAGCGTTCAGAGTTGTATTTGCGTAAACTTTTTAGTATACAATCCAACAACAAATTTTTTGCACTAGTATAAAAATTTATGATTTTATGATTTTACGATGCTTTATGACACGTTGTGAGTACCCCAATTTTTTTATTCAGTACACTAGAAAATACACTACAAAATCGAAGCATCAGCAAAGTCCTGAGTATGGTACCCAGAGTGGTGATAGAAAAATATATGTTTACTATGGTATATCATTTTGAGTGAATCAACTCTTTTTTATTATGAAAAAATGGCTAAAAAGGAGTTCCGCATGTTGAAAAAATACACTTAGAGAACACTCAACCATCAAGGATTGGTATGCTAAGGTTAGGCGTGATGAAGACGGTGAACGTCCAAAAGAGGTTGCTATCGGCGAAAAAATTAAAAGAGTCCATTGAATAATTTTGGATAACCATAAATTGAAGTTGTTGGAGATACCAGGCTCTCTAAAGATATCAACAGAACGTGTACATTCACGAATATTTGGGAATGCTCTGCGCAAAGTGGGCTCACTTTTGACCGAAAAATCTTTGATTCGGAGCAGTGTTTGGAGATGTTTACGCGAAATAAACACGAGTTTTGCATCGCTATTTGTCATTGATGAAACACGGCGCCAGTATTTCATTCCGAAGTCCAATCGACAGTTCGCTCCAAAGTGTGGAAAAACGCTGGGAAGGTCTGTATTCTGGGATGCGCATAGAATAATTTTTATTGACTACCTTGGAAAAGTAAGAATAATCAACAATAACTAAATACAAAGCTTTATTGGACCAATTGAAGAGTAAAATCGTCGAAAAACAAATTTTCACATTTTCAGAAAAAGAGAGTGCTGTTTCATAATTCAGTGAAAATATTGCTGAAATCCATGTTTTGAGCTTCAAATTGCTTCCACATCCACCGTATTTTAAGGAAGATTCCGGAAGAAGTTTTCAGATATTATTTCCTGTTTTCAGATCTCAAAAGAATGCTCGCTTGGAATAGAATGAAAATGTGATTGCCGAAACCTAGACCTTTTGACTTTTGAAGCAAAGAACAAATCGTACTACAAAAATAGTGTCGAAAACCTGCAGATTGACTATAATCAGCGCATCGCCTTTGAAGGGAACTATGTTGAAAAAAAGGAATTTTAACAAAAAAATGTGTTTTACTATGGTAGGCCAGGGACTTTTCAATTGACCTTAAAGACAAGTCTATGAGTAACTGTATGGTCATAGAACTTAACCCTGTTTCCCTCTTCTTAAAATTTTGCTGTTGTATCCCAGACTTCTGTGAAATGAGCTTTTTTTTACCGAGTAGTCTGCTTTAAATAGGGAAAATAATAGCTAGAAATAAGCCAGGCCGAGGTGTTGTCCAATATATCGCTACCAAGGCAGTTGGTTAAACCAATTAGAGCAGACTCTGTCTAATCAAATTGACTGGGACGGAGTAAAAAGAAACTACTTCTTGAAAATGGAATCCTGAGCCATACCTGCATGTCAATGCTTTAACCAATTTTCCTCTAAATTAGACTTACTTTCGCACAACAATTATAAAAATATTTAAGGAATGGCTTGACACCTCATCCATTGCTTTAAAGTTTTGATTAGATGCAAGACTAGATGAGCAACAAAGTACTTATACGGAAGAACTCATAATTAACATGAATAATCTTACTCTTATATTAGAAAGGTGAGATAACATATGAAGGAGAGGAAGAATTCATTTACTCTCGTTCACCCGTATATCGGACTCGCACTTTCAAACACACACTTTTATATGTGTATAGTATATTTCTGTATATGCTCCAAAATAAATAAATAATTATAAATATTTAGAAAATAGAAATCTGTACTTACAAGTGTGTATTGAACGTTGGAAATTATCAGCGGCTTATCAACAGATTCTCTGCGTCACATGTATATTTTTGTATGTGTATATAATATTTCTTTTTGAATAGCCAACTGTTGTGAAGCCAAAGTCTAGTGTTTAGTCTCAGTTTAATAACGCAAAGTAAAAGTTCAAATTTGGAACTGAAAAAATGATACAAATTAAACACAGTCGCAGTGGCAAAACGCTGAAAATCAATACATTTTGGCTACGTGATCACTGTCGTTGCGGCGATTGCTACAACACGGAGACAAAACAACGCAAATACAATCTGCTGGACATACCGAAAACCGTGAAACCGACAAGAACTGAATACATCAAGGATGGACTGCAATATGAAGTGCACTGTAAGTCAAATGTAATTAGAGGTTAGGTGGCATTATATGTATGTTTTTATATGAATTACATTTACCTCAGGGAGTGATGGCCATACATCCGTTTATGGCATCGATTTCCTACACGACGCGCAAGTCGAACATATCGTGGCGCACGCCGAGGACTCCACTGTGCGCGTACCCTGGAATCAGCCGTTTATTGTTGCGCACGAAGCGCACTTGCGCACCACACTTGCCGAACTGGTGAGCTCCGAAGCGGCAGTGCACAAAATTGTGCAAAGTCTAATACGTTACGGCATCGCGTTCATTGATGGCGTACCGTCGAACACCACAATGACCGAAATGGCGGTGCGACGCATCTTTCCACCGATGAAAACATTTTTCGGCGAAATGTATACCTTCTCCGATGTACAGGATCACGCTGATACTGCCTATACCAAGCAATATCTCGGTCTACACACGGACAACACGTATTTTTGCGATGCTGCGGGTCTGCAATCTTTGCATTGCATACAACATGTTAATGGCACTGGTGGTGAGAATTTCTTTGCGGACGGTTTGCATGCAGCGCGTGAATTGAGACATCGAAATCCGCGTGCTTTTGAGATACTCACGAGTGTAGCCGTGCCAGCGGAGTATATTGAGGATGGACAATATCATAAACATTCTGCACCGATAATACGCGTGGATCCGGTGAGTGGTGAAATAGTGCAGCTTCGCTTGAATGTCTACGATCGCGCACAATTCGATAGCATACCACAAGCGGAAATGCAGGATTTCTACGATAGTTTCCGTGAATATTTGGAGATTGTACAACGCATCGAGAATCAATGGACTTTCAAATTACATCCTGGCACTGTGTTGATTTTCGATAACTGGCGTGTGTTTCACGGTCGTCATGCGTACACGGGTCAACGCACCATGACTGGTTGTTATGTACAGCGGACGGACTTTTTGAGTAAGGCGCGCGTACTGGGCATCATCGATTGAGTGGAAATTATATAATAATACTAGCGATATTTACACAAATATGCATGATGATGGCTTGTGTAAGCTTGTGTGGTGAATTACGAAATATATTGAGCTTTTTGTTTGGAATTTTTTATTTATTATTAATTCTTGGCACTTTTTTGAAAACAGATGAACAAATTTTTTTTGGAATTTAAAGAAATCGATAGAGTCATAAAATACCAAAATTTAGGTACATATGTATGTTAGGTATGTCAAAATGTAACGAAAAGTATTTTGATCGATATAAAACAAAAAATGTAATCATTAAGTTGCTACTTATTTGAAAAGACACTTCATTTACCGCTACCACTTCGGATCTTAAAATTTAATTACATTTAATTAATATTTCAATCTTTTAATTGTACACTTATTCTTCAGTACTTAAGTGCTTATTAAACTGTACTAAGTATTGAAGTGAATCTCTTGAAAGCAATAACAAAAACAAATATTTTCTTATCAACTGCTTACAAACCGAAGATATGTGAATTGCTTAGGAAAGAAGAAGGAAAAGAAAAATAATCATAAAATAAAGGCATTCTACTTTTCATTACTTGTTTTAGAGATAATGTAGCGGAATAATAAATAAAATATCTTCAGAAATCATTTTGTTTTGCTAACGCCGGGAACGTTTATGTGTGATTACTTCAACACCGCTTTCTGATGTTGGTGGAATATCCTGCGAAAAAGGTTAAAAACATAAATCGGAATAGTTTTTTTAAAGGCTGAAAAACAGTTTCGAATTAAAAATATGTGTATATGTACATATGTGATTTTATCAAGTAGTGTTTTTGGAAATGCTATGTTCTGACTACATACCGTTGAACCTCTATTACTTTCAGATCGCGTCGGCAGGCTTATCTGTAAAAAAAATTACGATAGTTATTAAAAATAAATTAAATAATATATTTATAAGATTAAAAAAATAATATTATTATTTTAAAATATTTAATACAGAATGAAATTTATATTATGTTGGGTCTATAAATATAATCGTTTGGTTTTTTTTGAATATTTGAAGGTTTGTTTAACAAAAAAAACTAAAAAAAAAAGCATTTTTGAAGGTATTGCCCATCTGAAGCTACAACATTTCCCCATCTTTCCGTAGGAATATTGGTGTAAGCCCAATATATGTATGTATAACTAAAAAGTCCTAATGACTACCGAAAAGTGCTTTGAACCGATCTTTAGCACAATTTTGTACAAATTTCTGTTACATTTATATAATGTTTACAAAAAAAAAAAAGTCAACTTCATCAACCATCTCCGTAAACAGTTTCGTACATATTTATATATTGGGTAGTCGAAAAAGTCTTTTCGTATTTTGTCAATAGATGCCGTTGCAGTCGTATACCTCCAGTGCTACCAATCACATTGTATCATACCATATAGTGTTGGAAAGGTGCGATTTTAAGCTTCATTTAGTAAAAAAAAAAAAAAAAATTGGGGGCAGTTGAAAATAAGTTATAGCTGTTCAGCAATGAGTCAAAATAATGAAGAAATTCGATATATTTTGCAATTTTTATATAAAAAAAGTTAAGAATAATGCCACACAAGCCACCAATGAAATTTGTGAAGTTTACGGGGACGATGCTGTATCAGTTTGTGTATTACAACAATGGTTCGCTCGCTTCCGTTCTGGAAATTTCGATATGAACGTACCTCGCATCGACTATATGAGTCGATGAAATTATGGAAAAGATTGACCAGGACCATCACATGAGCAGCGATGACATCGCTAAGGATTCCAGCCAGTAAAAATTACTTGTCCCAGTTCTTTGCCGAGTGAAGTTTGATTAGAAATACGAAAATACTTTTTCGACTACACTATATATACTAAAGTAGTAAAATAGAAAAAATATATTTACAACTTTTCTTGTTGGTCTCCAACCGCGCAACAATGAGCGCTCCTCATTATCCACATCAGTATCCGAAGAAGACGATGTACAACTGCGCTTTAAGACAGCGCGGCTCTGAGGTCTTGGCTGTACAGTAATGCTGACAGGTTGCTGGGGTGATTAGTTAAAAATATATGTGGTACAAAGTAAATAAATCTCTTATTTAATAACTCTTTTTACAAACCGTAAACCGACTCTCGTCATTTCTTTGTATATGCGGCAAGGGATTTGTGGCATTCGGGTAGAAGATGTGCTGGATTTCTCGCATTTTATTGATGGTTTTCTGAAACAGAGGTGAGTTTCACAGAATCAGTAATTATTTTTAACCTTAAATACATAATGGTGTATATTCATATTTATATAGACCATTACAAATAATTATTGATTCTGTGAAACTCACCTCTGTTTCAGTTTTATAGTCAGCGTGTTCTTTATGCAAGGTGTTAATGGTTTTTTCTTTCTGCAACAGTTCATCCTGCAAAACACTGATTGATTTCTGTAATACGAGAAAATATACCAAATACGAATTTAATAAACCAACAATAAGTTAATTTAGTATCAAACCTGTAGTTGCTCCTGTTTTAGTTTGCTTTCATTGATTTCAATTCGGATTTTTACCAGCTCTGCGTTGTTGTTGTCTAGATCAGCGTGCTTGGCTTGCAATTCTTGATGAATCACATCAAGCTGGAAGTAAAAAAACAGAGTTATTCTTTTATATCCATACATTTCTTTATTACATATTGCCACCTCATTTCTTAACACCGCCTCCTTTTCACCACACTCCTTCAGCTCCTTTTCATTGGAAATCATCAATTCACCACAGCGTTTTTTAAAAGTCAACAATTCAGCGCGCAACAAACTTTTACTTTCCATCAAACGAGTTTGCTCTTCTTTGTATTTGTTAAGCTCTTTTTCTCCAGCAGCAATTCTACAAAATTTAAAAAATAATTTTAGTTTTTTTAACATATACTTCAACTAAATTTTTTAATAAGTACACTCACTTTTCATTTAGCGCCAATACGGTGCCATGTTGATTGTTAATTTGTACATTTAAGAGAGAGTTTTGTTGACCCAGCTTACTATTTAGTTCCGTTAGTTTTTGTAAACTGCTACGATGACGATTTATGAACGTTTGTAGCGCTTCTTGAATAATTTGTGAATTAACAAACACTGTCTCAGGGCTATTTCTTGCAGCTGCATTTCTTTCAGTGGACTTCATGTTGTTTTGTTGTAATATATTTGACTTTGATACTAAGTTGTTGCGATTTGCTTTACTGTAAAATGAAGACAGAATTCATTGCATCATTGCATAGTTCTAGGCTGTATTATTTTCTGCCGTATATACATATATAAAAACACTATATTTTTTTTTGTAAATGTAACACACAAAAACTTCAATTTTAATGGGGAAAGTTAATTACCATTCGAAAGAACGTTTTATTTATTTTTTGAAGAGTCCATCTTTCGATGACTCGTTCAAGCATTTCGACTGGTAACTGGTGAATGACACGAATGATGTTTTGCTGCTAGACCTGAATTTTATTTACGGTCGCCATTGATGGGAAACCTTTCCAAAGGCATCATTTTCGAAGAAATGTGGATCGGTGATTCCATCATCCCACAAATTACATTAAACGTTTTTTTTTTTCTGGAAAAAATGGCTGCTCTTAAATCTCCTTAGTTCGCTCTTCGTCTTAAAATCGGGAATTTTGCTTATTTAAATACGCATCGAATCTAAAATGGACCTCATCGTTGAACAAAAGCTGGCTCGAAAACGTCAGATATTCTTGGAACTTTTCAAGAGTCTATAGAGCGAAGTGATGTCGCTTGGGAAAGTCGAGCAGCTACAGTTCAAATACAAACTGTATTTTTGTACGGTTCTAATTTAAGATCTCGACGTAAACGTAACGACGCCGAATCGACTTCTTGCACACTCCTAGCTACGGCTGCTAAATTTCCTTCATTTCGTACTGGATATGGTATATTCCGTCGAATATCATTTAATAATGAATGCGGGGTCTAGAAATGGGTGATGGCATTAAGAATAGTGCGCTCAGTAGGCCGATTAAGGTGATCATAAGTCGAAGTGCGGGAAACACATTCGTTACAGAACGTGAATATTCGTAATAAAGTTGAACGAATTGTAAACATAACAGCTAGTCACAACAGAACCTCTAGGCGGGTCACTCGTTATACATATGTAAATGAGGAATTAACAAGAAAAATTAAATTGGTAGCTTTATTCGGAAAGCTAGGAAAATCAGATCTTATAAAAAAATATGTTACACTCATAAAGTGAGATCTCTTTCAAAAGAAATCAAGTTTAATAAAGATAATACTTCTATTTATAGATTGTTTCTACAGGTATCGCCTGAACAAATTCCGCGACCGTGCACTAAGTAGGACAATCATTAGTTTTTTAAAGTTGAAACTTGTTTTTAGGATCCATTTTTAGATCGCTGAAAGTCGTGAAACCTTTATGTTGACGTAGATAAGTAAAAGGAAATGAGATGGGGACAAATCTGGGAATGTCCTGAATGTGACAAAAACAGCTAATTCGCCCAAATCGCAGTGGCGACGGCGTAGGTGTGAGTTGGTGATGGTAATTATTTTCTTTGCCAAATCACCACAGTATATGACAGTCTTCGCTTTCTTCTGACCAGGTTTTGCCGGGTGATGCTCACTTTTTCGATTGTTTCCTGACCTCTGCGGTGTACACGCTTCCATAGAAACTTATTCAGATTCAAGTAGTCTCACTGTTGCGATTGTTGACCGGAGTGAGCAAACGAGGTACCCCAAAGTGCTGATAACTTTCTTATGCCTAGAGTTTGAGTTAAAGGCTATGCTATTGAACCGCACTTTTAATTGGTGGTGTGCCAATTAGAGATTTAGGACTTTTGTCATTCTTAATGGTAGCCGTATGCGTGAGACCACGTTGAATATGTGATAAAACTTATACCAGGTGGCGCTGTGATATTTATCGTGATTAAACTTTTCAGGGTACTTTAATGTATGTTAATTTTACCAAGAAGTTTATAACACTCAGAAGGCAACGTCGAAGATGACTCTTTGAAGTACATATACTATATAATATATATGAAATATGTTTTCTAGTAGTTGGAAGCGAGATATGAATTCTTCTATATAATAATAAAAAAATAGAAAACTGTAAATCGGAGGGCCTTTCGGTACAGTTAAGAGCTCATAATTGGAGAGATTTTCGTAGAGATGCTTAATAACCTATTTTTCAGAGCATCACAAGCGACAAAAACAAATATTCGTTTTGTTTCTAACTCACCCTATAAAATACCCTGCTAGTTTTGCTGCTCATCAATAAAAAAAAAAACAAATTTTTAAACATTTTTATTGGCTCAATATATTAATACAAAAATTACACTTAGTTATTACAACAAAATCTTTAGTGGAGAAATCATTCTCAAATCTTTTACAATTTATTTAAGGCACATAATTTATTCATATGTTCGAGACGTACTTATTCGTTCTTCTTCTTATCGGTTTTATGTTTATGTATTGTATGTATGTAAATATATGTGTGTGCATATGTGTATAAAGTAAATGAATGTGACTTTCGCATTTTGTCATTCAAGTACTTTTTGCTTAAAAATGGTTTTTGTTTTCATTGGTTTTCTATTTCTTAGAGATGGCTTCTTTAAATAAACTAACATAGAGTAAAATATATTTCATATATGTATGTATATAAAATATAACATTTGCTTACAACAGACACGTTTTTGTTTGTTAATTAATTGTGTGCTTTACTAAAATTAATATTTTGTTCATCAATATGGCTTACAAGGCAATTGGAGAATAGAAGAAGTGATAAACGCGACGCAGCCGCCACGACGCACAGCTAGCACAACTAACACTGGCTTTAAAATCGATATATTTGAGTTTTGGTCTTTCTAATTATTGCAGTTATCAAAGGCTATTGTTATTAAGTATAAATGCAATGATGCAACACTGCGTTTCTATTCCAACTAACTATGGTAGATGCGCGAGGCTCGCCGCTTTAGCCGGTGCACAGCCTGTAGCGATCGGCATGCTCTTGGATTTGCTGCAGGGACAAAGTGAGCTCATCGTTGAGCGGCTTCAAAGCGTCCTGTAATTTTTGCAAAGTATTATTCTTCTCCGTGTAGACGTATTGCATCACTTGCAGTTGACTCAGTTTGTCGTTGGTGTCAACGGTCAGTTTGGAGGCGCGTTGCAACAGTTTCTTGGCGCGTTCACGTGCGCTCTCCGAACTGAGCGCACGATCCGTAAGCGTTTGATTGACCAAATTCGTGGCGGACTGCAATTGATTGGAGTATTCGCGTCCCTTCAGGGCAGCCTCTTTGACTGCAATCGCTTCGTTCTTGATTTCCTTAGCGTCCAATTCATTCTTAAGTATATTCTTTTGTATACGGCTAACCTGTTTGGCCAGTTCTTCAACCTGTTGTGCTGTTGCATTGGCTGGCGCTTCAGCTTCGCTGGTCTCCAGATCGATCTGATCCAAATCCTTGGCTGCAAGTTCAATATTTACATTGGCTTGTGATATGGCGTCGATGGCCTTCAGTTGTGAGGCGTCAGCGTCGTCGAGATTCTTCACTACCGAATTGGCAGTATCTAATATTTCGTTGGCAGTTTCTTTGGTCGTGTTGGCTTTCGCTTGCAGTTCGTTTACACGCGAAAGATCACCACGCGTATTGTAAATGATAGATTCGACATTTTTGAGTGAGGATACAGCGTCATTGATTTTGCCACCCAACACTTGTATCTCTTCCGGATCCAATTTCAGGTCTAGCGCGAGTGTTTGTAGTGCAACATCCCGACTTTCGCTGGGCAGTGCAGTGTTATTGTTTATAAAATTATTCAGTTGCTCTATCGTAGCTTCACCCTTCTTAATGTTCTCATTAGTGCGATTGAGATAGCGTTCGGCGTCTTCGAAGGCGCTCTTTGCTTTCTGATAACCTTCGGACGCGTTGACTTTAGCTTGGAAGAGTGAACGTATAGTTTGATCGGCCACATCTTTTTTATCTTTAATTATTTGTTCGGTGTCTTTAGCCACTTTAAGTGCCTTTTCGGTACGTGTTAGTGCGCCATGTTCGCAGGATAGACCGCCACAGGAACCGCAACCGGCGCCGCCACAAAGCGAATCGCATGGATCGCCGCTCTTATCGCATACTTCATTATTCAAACCGGGTATCATGCTGGTTAGCGTTGATAGCTCGTCGCGATAGTCAGCAATAATGCCATCGTTGGCTGTTATAGTAGCTTGTTCATCCTTTATCTTATTCGATAGCGTTTCAACGCGCTTACAGTTGCGATCTGTATTGGTCGCAAAGTCTTCGGCTTCATTCTTCACTGTGGACAAGTCTAATACACGCTCGAACGCATTTCGTGTTAGATTCAGCGCCCCTTCGATGTTAGATTCCTGCAGTTGTATGCCATTCTCTTTGAGTTCCTTTGACAATTTCTTTACGAGCTCAGATTGATTACGTAACGCTTCCAGCTCGACAGTGGATAGACTCAAAGATGAGTGTATATCCTCTAAGTTCTCTTCGGTCTCTATTAGTTTACTGTGTGAAGCTTGCAGTTTCTCCTTGAGTTCCGCACCTTCCTTATCCAAAGCATCAATGTCGTGCAAACTAACAGTGGTATTTTGTAACAGATCCCGTATATTCTGCAACTTCTTATCCAAAGTGCTGAACTCTGCGGTATATGCACCGGTAGCGCCAACTAATTTGATCTCCTTCGCACGTTGTATGGCCTCTGCGGTGGCGTCTTCTAAACCATGTAAAATTAAATCCCAATTGTTGAAGCATTCACCGCAAGGTGCGCAATGCGGGAAGCGTCCTTGATAACCACGCGCACATTCATTACACTTATAGCCGCCCATGCCTTCGTGACAGACACACTGTCCAGTCTCACGATCGCATTGGAAGTCAGCCGAGCCATAGGGATCACATTCGCACGGTTGACATTTTTCGTTCGGATTGCCCCAGTAGTTCGATTGGCATTGATTGCATGCACGTCCACCAAAGCCATCTCGACACTCACATTGACCAGTGTAACGGTTACATTGTTCAGATAATGAACCGATGGGATCACATTCACAAGCCTCGCAACCTTCACCGGAAGCAATCTTCCAATGATTCACCGCACACTCATCGCAACGTATGCCCTGCACATTTGGCAAGCACGGACATTGGCCGGTAAAGCGATCGCAATGCATAATCGTTTTATTCGTACCCAAAAAGTCACATTCGCATTGCAC